TTAGTGGTACTTTCTATAGAGCGCTGTGGGAACAATGTAAAGCTTTCTAGAATGTACCTGTAGACTGGGTCCACATGGATGTATGTGTAGTTGGTAAAAATGATATTTTGTACTGTAGTACATCTTAAATCAGTTAATTATCTAATAATATTTAAAAACTAAGCAACACATGTAAAGTTCAGAAAGTTGTTTTATTTCTATAAGAATGCACTAGAGAGTAAATTTAACCATACTGAAAAGGAAAATAAATGATTTTTCAGGTTAACTCTTTAAAATGATTAGCTTGCTATGTTGCTTCTGGATTCTCAAAAGTAAAGAAAAAAAAAACAATGCTTTGTTTTATTTCACCATACTGTTACCTTGAAATACTGGTAATATATTTAAATGAGTTGTCATATAGCTGAACTGGAGTTGTTTGTGGATATTATTGTTTTATTTAAAGCATTTTGGAAAAAAAATATAAATACTACAAACCAAATCTCTTGACAAGAAACAACAGCTATGTCAAATAATTCCTTAAATTATTTGATTGTATATGATGCACGTTTGAGCCAAACTTTGGGCTATTTGAAAGTGCCAGGAGTAAGATTACAGTTGCAAGAATTTTAAAATCAAAACTATATGGTTACAAGTTTAGTAACTGCTTCTTGTTGCAAAACTCAAAATTTAAAAACAGGACTAAACCTTGAAGGCCAGCAAAAATACACACAACGTAGGTCAGGTTGTGTGTGTGCACCAGTGAAAGTGACATGAAGCAGCACATCTCTGTACTCCTCTGATTTGGGGTTGTATATAGGGCCAATAAATTAGCATAAATTAGCAATGAAAGGCAGCCAAAAATTTGTCCCATTGTCTGTTGAAGTTTCATTTATATATGCATTCTGGAGGCAAAAAATGGGATTTGAGTATTTAGAACTATATAAGAGAATCGACTTGGATCTATGTATGAACCTGCCTAACAGTTAAATAATTGCTTGCTTTCTATGATGCAGGGCACCTACCATCAATGCATCTCGGAAACTATAGCAACCAGAAGATTTTCTAAACAAGAAGGTAGTTACTTTTGTACATCTTCTAGTTGTTTTATTACCAGCTTGCTTATGTCACTTACAGAGCTTAGCTTTTCAAAGTGACAGACACTATTTAATATGGATAAAATTCTTCAAACTGTATAACCTTCAGGTACAGACAGACCTTCCAAGTATTTTATCAGAATAAGTCACTATATTAGTATAATTTATAACTTGTGGAACAATAGGATAAACCCAAGGTGCAAATGCTGATACACAGCAGTTACATCTAGTTACAATAGTTTTTCTTAACCTTCAGAACACTGGCACTTTCATGGCTGCTTAAATGAATGATTTAAAATCTGCAGTTTAGAAAATGTTTGTAATAAACAGCTAACACACCCCCATGTAATGCTATGAGAGTTGGCCCCAATGATACAGCCAACATTTTAGGTCAAAATGTCTTCTAAAAATGCACACATATGATTTATATACACACTAGTCTGAGCTCACAAACTACACATAGACATTCCAATCAGGCAGTTAGATATGAAATTACATGATTTACAAGTATGGCCCCTAACTTTATGAATATTTTTTTAAATATTAAGACTCGCATAGATTAACATGTACTGTTGCAAGTGTGGAAAATGGAATTAAAAACTGCAGATTTAATTTAAACTAGGAGGTCTTATGGTTAGTGTACATAAACATGTTGGCCATGACACAGACAGGAATTCATTAGAAGAATTTACAGGGAGGGACCTGAAAGCATTTTTGTGAACACATTTTTTTTTTCAGTCATGGGTTTGTTTTTTTATTCCCCAATAAAGAACAGTACAAAACTTGCCTTTTCTTTTTTAAATCATGTAGGAAAAGAGCTATTAAATTAGTGAATTTAGTCACTTTTTCCCCAATTGGATGGCTTAAAAATACACCACTGGAAACCCAGGATACAATACATATTGATGACTTTTGCAGAATTTGTTTCAGCAGTGACAGTTGTATTAAACCGGCATTAACAAACATGTCACATTGTGGAACTGAACAACTGTCTTTTGATAACCTATACCGCACACCATGGTCCATTAACAGAAGAAAAGATAAATGCTTGCCAAGTGTGTCCCATCTAGTACATGCAACCCAGGGGAGGAGCTAGAGCATTCTTTTCATCCCTTTTGCTGACCCAAGTCCTTTAATCCATTGCAGTTCAGTAGCAAGGGGTATCCAACATCCTTCAATTGCTACTGTGCAAACAGAATGCTGAAGGCCATCACTATACAGCACACAGCTACATAAGGACTCTTCCGTTCACCTAGAGGGAAGAATTAAAATGAATTACTAAACAGTTCTCATTGCATGACCAAATAGACATGAAACTGATTCTAGGTTAATATAATGTAGTGATTATTATTATACTGAGTTGAAGTCCTTGAAAGGATAGCTACTATTGTCCAGTTGGAACAGATTCATGTACAATTTCACAGCTGCTTTGATATGCCCAGATTCTAGGTCTTTTTTAATGCTAGATTGGTGTTACAGAGCCAGAATATGGCCCAGGCTTTTTCATGCAAATCAATAAAACAGGACTAAAAATGCAGACACACTCCTAACTTCTCTTTCAAAAGCTTTATATGTTTAACTATTTGTGCTACTGCAAGCAAAAAGCAAGCTAACAATCGCTGCTAAGCACCCAGTTTCATGTTGTCAATTATTATGTTTCTTTGTGATTTTAATGAGCTCAAGGAAACTTTCTTGCCCACCTGTTCAAGAATTAAAACACACCATTATGACTCTCATCAACCAAAGCAGGCATTAAAGAGGGATGGATCTTAAAGTTGTTAATGGTGTTCCTAACTCTTTAACTATGCCCCCTAGGTTTATATGGTTGTTAAGCTTATTCTCCAATCCAAACAACCAGTGATTGTATTCAGTTTCTGCCTTCCCCAGCTCCACGTTTTGTTACCCCACCAACTTCTTTTCCTTCCATCTCAAGAAAAGAGCTTCCTACACTGAAGACTATTGTCAGACTAACACTGACAAAAGCCTTAGGGATCTTTGAAGATGTTGTTTCTTGCATTTAATCATTTAGGTGTGAAAAAACAGACTTGGGGCTGCTTGCTTTCTCTTTACTGTTGAAGAACTCCTTGAAAAGTCCATCTCCCAATTATAAAACACTGTTTTCAAGATGTAATTGCCAGAGAATTGTTTGCAAAATGGGAAGAAAAAACCGCCGGAGTTCTTGAATTGGTACTCTATTAAAGTTGAACGTGCATACAAACATTCCCTTTAACAAGAAATCCTTTCAATTTCAAATAATAGAATCTTTCCATAGTAAATGAAACAAATAAAATACTTGTAGTAACACCTCCCATAAGTAAGGATGCTTACCACAATGACATTACAAGGTACTGTCATCATCTGGTATACATTTAATTAAACTTCAAATAACCAAGTGAATTAATGTCTGTACTTCCACATGTGGTTAAAATTAATTTTTGAGGAAGTCTACCTCCTACAGTTTAAAGTATTACAATTTTCATATGGGTCTTACTTGTCTGCTCTTAATTTTCTTGAAAGAGAGATCACCATGTGGCAGGATTAAACATCTTTTTGCACAATTCTGTAAATATGTAACCACTTGCCTGTTATTAAAAGCTTATGCATATGTGGAGTGAAAAGGTTGCTTAAAAACCACACTGTGCAAGTTAAGCTCCAAGCTAGCAGGCATTCCTTTTTAAACAAGCCCACACTTTTGTTCACATCTTCTGAGTTTTTATTTAACAGAAAACACAAATATCTTCAGTATAGGAAAATGGCTAAGGAGATAGCATGCTGTCCCATAAGGAGCACACAGTAGGGATACCAAGAGGAACCATAGTTCAAGGGAAGGAAGTCAGTGAATCACATAACATAAATGCTGAAAAGTGAATAAAATGTGTCTTTCACAGGCAAACAAAAGATGAAGTCTAATGTGAGATCAAAAACCAGATGTTCCTCTTGTGGGTGCAGACATGCAATAGAAGCTCAAGTTGAATGACGCCTTTTAACAACATCAACTAACCCATATTACTCCATCTAGCAAAACTGAGTCATTTTTTACAAGTTAACATGAACATAAAACTTATGTTTATTTATAGCAGTGTACAGCAAACAAATATTGTAAAATCTAAATAGGAAAGATATATTTTAGGCTGGGTTGGGGCTGGTCCTGCTTTGAGCAAGGGGTTAGACTAGATGACCTCCTGAGGTCCCTTCCAACCCTGGCTTTCTATGATTAACTGCATCTCAACCAAATTCTGACGTCTTTGTCCTTCATGGAGGGTTAACTAGAGCATATTTAAAAAGAATATGCTGTTGTTCAATGAATTTTTAATACAGTAAAATATGACACTTCTCTCGCATTGCTCCTTGAAACAGCTAAATCACTTTAGCTGAAACAAAAGAACCCAGACCCCTCCCCCCCCAAACAAAACAAAACAAAACAAAAACAAAACAAAGGCAAAACAAAACAAAAACAATCAGTCTGAGACCTTACACAGAAAATTTCAGGCCAAACATTTAAAATTTGCCACAGTGAAAAGTAACCGAAGAGGTTTATACAATGGAAAGCATGGGACAGTCTTAACAATATATGGCACTGCTAGCTCTGTCTAATTGTTTTTAAAAATATTCTTCTATGTGGATGCCGCTGAATCTCTACATTACAAGCAGCGGGCTGAGAACTCTCTCCTTTCTTCTGGTTTTCTGATCAAACATAATTGCTCAGAAAATTTGCAGTTTTGATACCAGAAATGCCCCTGAAATAGCTACTGATTTTAGTGGTACTTTCTATAGAGCGCTGTGGGAACAATGTAAAGCTTTCTAGAATGTACCTGTAGACTGGGTCCACATGGATGTATGTGTAGTTGGTAAAAATGATATTTTGTACTGTAGTACATCTTAAATCAGTTAATTATCTAATAATATTTAAAAACTAAGCAACACATGTAAAGTTCAGAAAGTTGTTTTATTTCTATAAGAATGCACTAGAGAGTAAATTTAACCATACTGAAAAGGAAAATAAATGATTTTTCAGGTTAACTCTTTAAAATGATTAGCTTGCTATGTTGCTTCTGGATTCTCAAAAGTAAAGAAAAAAAAAACAATGCTTTGTTTTATTTCACCATACTGTTACCTTGAAATACTGGTAATATATTTAAATGAGTTGTCATATAGCTGAACTGGAGTTGTTTGTGGATATTATTGTTTTATTTAAAGCATTTTGGAAAAAAAATATAAATACTACAAACCAAATCTCTTGACAAGAAACAACAGCTATGTCAAATAATTCCTTAAATTATTTGATTGTATATGATGCACGTTTGAGCCAAACTTTGGGCTATTTGAAAGTGCCAGGAGTAAGATTACAGTTGCAAGAATTTTAAAATCAAAACTATATGGTTACAAGTTTAGTAACTGCTTCTTGTTGCAAAACTCAAAATTTAAAAACAGGACTAAACCTTGAAGGCCAGCAAAAATACACACAACGTAGGTCAGGTTGTGTGTGTGCACCAGTGAAAGTGACATGAAGCAGCACATCTCTGTACTCCTCTGATTTGGGGTTGTATATAGGGCCAATAAATTAGCATAAATTAGCAATGAAAGGCAGCCAAAAATTTGTCCCATTGTCTGTTGAAGTTTCATTTATATATGCATTCTGGAGGCAAAAAATGGGATTTGAGTATTTAGAACTATATAAGAGAATCGACTTGGATCTATGTATGAACCTGCCTAACAGTTAAATAATTGCTTGCTTTCTATGATGCAGGGCACCTACCATCAATGCATCTCGGAAACTATAGCAACCAGAAGATTTTCTAAACAAGAAGGTAGTTACTTTTGTACATCTTCTAGTTGTTTTATTACCAGCTTGCTTATGTCACTTACAGAGCTTAGCTTTTCAAAGTGACAGACACTATTTAATATGGATAAAATTCTTCAAACTGTATAACCTTCAGGTACAGACAGACCTTCCAAGTATTTTATCAGAATAAGTCACTATATTAGTATAATTTATAACTTGTGGAACAATAGGATAAACCCAAGGTGCAAATGCTGATACACAGCAGTTACATCTAGTTACAATAGTTTTTCTTAACCTTCAGAACACTGGCACTTTCATGGCTGCTTAAATGAATGATTTAAAATCTGCAGTTTAGAAAATGTTTGTAATAAACAGCTAACACACCCCCATGTAATGCTATGAGAGTTGGCCCCAATGATACAGCCAACATTTTAGGTCAAAATGTCTTCTAAAAATGCACACATATGATTTATATACACACTAGTCTGAGCTCACAAACTACACATAGACATTCCAATCAGGCAGTTAGATATGAAATTACATGATTTACAAGTATGGCCCCTAACTTTATGAATATTTTTTTAAATATTAAGACTCGCATAGATTAACATGTACTGTTGCAAGTGTGGAAAATGGAATTAAAAACTGCAGATTTAATTTAAACTAGGAGGTCTTATGGTTAGTGTACATAAACATGTTGGCCATGACACAGACAGGAATTCATTAGAAGAATTTACAGGGAGGGACCTGAAAGCATTTTTGTGAACACATTTTTTTTTTCAGTCATGGGTTTGTTTTTTTATTCCCCAATAAAGAACAGTACAAAACTTGCCTTTTCTTTTTTAAATCATGTAGGAAAAGAGCTATTAAATTAGTGAATTTAGTCACTTTTTCCCCAATTGGATGGCTTAAAAATACACCACTGGAAACCCAGGATACAATACATATTGATGACTTTTGCAGAATTTGTTTCAGCAGTGACAGTTGTATTAAACCGGCATTAACAAACATGTCACATTGTGGAACTGAACAACTGTCTTTTGATAACCTATACCGCACACCATGGTCCATTAACAGAAGAAAAGATAAATGCTTGCCAAGTGTGTCCCATCTAGTACATGCAACCCAGGGGAGGAGCTAGAGCATTCTTTTCATCCCTTTTGCTGACCCAAGTCCTTTAATCCATTGCAGTTCAGTAGCAAGGGGTATCCAACATCCTTCAATTGCTACTGTGCAAACAGAATGCTGAAGGCCATCACTATACAGCACACAGCTACATAAGGACTCTTCCGTTCACCTAGAGGGAAGAATTAAAATGAATTACTAAACAGTTCTCATTGCATGACCAAATAGACATGAAACTGATTCTAGGTTAATATAATGTAGTGATTATTATTATACTGAGTTGAAGTCCTTGAAAGGATAGCTACTATTGTCCAGTTGGAACAGATTCATGTACAATTTCACAGCTGCTTTGATATGCCCAGATTCTAGGTCTTTTTTAATGCTAGATTGGTGTTACAGAGCCAGAATATGGCCCAGGCTTTTTCATGCAAATCAATAAAACAGGACTAAAAATGCAGACACACTCCTAACTTCTCTTTCAAAAGCTTTATATGTTTAACTATTTGTGCTACTGCAAGCAAAAAGCAAGCTAACAATCGCTGCTAAGCACCCAGTTTCATGTTGTCAATTATTATGTTTCTTTGTGATTTTAATGAGCTCAAGGAAACTTTCTTGCCCACCTGTTCAAGAATTAAAACACACCATTATGACTCTCATCAACCAAAGCAGGCATTAAAGAGGGATGGATCTTAAAGTTGTTAATGGTGTTCCTAACTCTTTAACTATGCCCCCTAGGTTTATATGGTTGTTAAGCTTATTCTCCAATCCAAACAACCAGTGATTGTATTCAGTTTCTGCCTTCCCCAGCTCCACGTTTTGTTACCCCACCAACTTCTTTTCCTTCCATCTCAAGAAAAGAGCTTCCTACACTGAAGACTATTGTCAGACTAACACTGACAAAAGCCTTAGGGATCTTTGAAGATGTTGTTTCTTGCATTTAATCATTTAGGTGTGAAAAAACAGACTTGGGGCTGCTTGCTTTCTCTTTACTGTTGAAGAACTCCTTGAAAAGTCCATCTCCCAATTATAAAACACTGTTTTCAAGATGTAATTGCCAGAGAATTGTTTGCAAAATGGGAAGAAAAAACCGCCGGAGTTCTTGAATTGGTACTCTATTAAAGTTGAACGTGCATACAAACATTCCCTTTAACAAGAAATCCTTTCAATTTCAAATAATAGAATCTTTCCATAGTAAATGAAACAAATAAAATACTTGTAGTAACACCTCCCATAAGTAAGGATGCTTACCACAATGACATTACAAGGTACTGTCATCATCTGGTATACATTTAATTAAACTTCAAATAACCAAGTGAATTAATGTCTGTACTTCCACATGTGGTTAAAATTAATTTTTGAGGAAGTCTACCTCCTACAGTTTAAAGTATTACAATTTTCATATGGGTCTTACTTGTCTGCTCTTAATTTTCTTGAAAGAGAGATCACCATGTGGCAGGATTAAACATCTTTTTGCACAATTCTGTAAATATGTAACCACTTGCCTGTTATTAAAAGCTTATGCATATGTGGAGTGAAAAGGTTGCTTAAAAACCACACTGTGCAAGTTAAGCTCCAAGCTAGCAGGCATTCCTTTTTAAACAAGCCCACACTTTTGTTCACATCTTCTGAGTTTTTATTTAACAGAAAACACAAATATCTTCAGTATAGGAAAATGGCTAAGGAGATAGCATGCTGTCCCATAAGGAGCACACAGTAGGGATACCAAGAGGAACCATAGTTCAAGGGAAGGAAGTCAGTGAATCACATAACATAAATGCTGAAAAGTGAATAAAATGTGTCTTTCACAGGCAAACAAAAGATGAAGTCTAATGTGAGATCAAAAACCAGATGTTCCTCTTGTGGGTGCAGACATGCAATAGAAGCTCAAGTTGAATGACGCCTTTTAACAACATCAACTAACCCATATTACTCCATCTAGCAAAACTGAGTCATTTTTTACAAGTTAACATGAACATAAAACTTATGTTTATTTATAGCAGTGTACAGCAAACAAATATTGTAAAATCTAAATAGGAAAGATATATTTTAGGCTGGTTTAACTCTGCCTTTTTACCAAGCTAAAAGAAACAGAGGTTGGTAGACAGACATACTTGTAATCCTGAGAAAACTATATTTATGTGAAGTTATATTTTCTAATGTAACTGAAAAATTCTAAACTTTTTTGCTGATGACACCTTGCTAAATTATTTTAAAAAATATTTTAAGGGGTGAAGATTTTAATTCAAACTATTTTCTATTCTATTTTCATTACAGGTATAACAATTTGCAGTTGCTTCCATTGAATTTCATGTCAGTGTCACAAAGGAGCACTTTTTTGGCATGAATAACGCTAGTACTTTTGTTAACAGCAAGAATGCTTCCAAAAGGACTAGAGAGCGCGCGAAGGGATGAGTTTGTTTTCCTTTATGTCTGTGATGGCAAACACTGGGAACTACAGACACAAGAACCATATTTAGTTGTACACATACAGCACAACCTAAAATCTGTTTAATTGTTCTTTTAAAAATTTATCCACAAAAGTTCATCTGAATCTTCTTTATTGATCACACTCAGAACTGCCACTAAGTAGTCACACACTTCAATTAAAAAAAAAAATGAAACAAGTGACCACAACTGGCATCACAGACTAAAATACTTGTGACTTCAGTTAAGAGAAGAATGTCTCCTTAAGTTGGCCAACCTTTTTATATTTGCCACTTGGTACCAATGACTTTTCAACAGTCATTTAATCTCCCTTCTCAGTTTCTCCTCTCTTTGAGCTATTCCTGAAAAGAACTTTAGAGCACGAATAATTCTGGGTCCTTTTATTATTACGAAAAGTTACTCAGAGATGTGGGTTTTCGGGAAAATTATTAATTGGAAAATTTGCTGGAAAATTTCCCAATGCCCTAAATAGAGCGTGATCTGATTTAGCGTGTTTATTTAACTTATCTTTAGTAAACAAAGCTAAAAAAGTACCCCCATATTAATTTTATGTCCCAATAGCCACAAGTATTTGAACTGAAATACTTGATTAGGAAAAAAATTAAATACAGCACACTTAATGTGGTGTGAATGTTATATTCAAACAAATTCAAAGCTTTATGTGAAAAGCAATTATTTTTATTGGAATACTTGTAAAAATGTAAAGACAATACACAATAGCATGTACTTCCCTTACACTGTTTGTTTAAATTTAAAAAAAAACCCAACACACAAAAGGCACTGAAAACTGCTGACACTCATTTTAGTACACCCAAAGAACTGTGCATGATATGCCATGGTTGTCCACTCATCTACTTCAGAGTTTAACTCCCTTCCACTGAGGTTATTGCAGCACCTCCAGTTTCACTGTCACTATCTGTATAATCACTTGCTTCTACTGGTTAGTTCCATTTCAGAACCAGATTGAGGCAAATCTGATTCAGAGCTACTTGAACCACATTCTCTGTTGCTAAAGGATGGTTTTACCAATGAGTCTATGGGCAAGGGCAACTTATCACACTGCATCTTCTTGAAACTGCCAACCTTGCCTAATATTGTATTGGCAACCATTCACTGTTACTAATGAATTTTATGAAACGATGAATTTTTAGAAATAGAAAATTTCCCATGGAAAAATAAAGCACTAGAAAATTTTCCACCACACATCACTGAAATTACTGCTGACAGCCAGATATTTACACTTAGAACTTTGAATGGGGCAATAACTTGCAACAAAATACATTTTGTGCATATTTATTATAAATCAAAAGGGAAATATGTACTGGATGTATTGTGGAATAAATGAATAAAAGTATAGTGGATTTTGTAAATGTAACAACATAAATATAAATAAGCACTCAGTAAAATGTCTACTGAGCACTTTAAGAACCTGAGACCATTGCAAAAAACAGTTCTGCAAAACTCAATGGGATCTCAAATTATATTCCATTTTTAAGTTGTAGCATTTATTTTTCATGCCTACATGCAAACATGTATAATTACTGCAATGAATACTGTATATTATGTAAAGAAAATGAGCTAGTCATCAGGACTACACAGAAAAGCACACTTACCAATCCTGGCGCATTTCCAGAATATTCCCAAGGGTCTGTAGGGATACACAGAGTTGTTAAGAGTTTTAGATTTAATATGATAGTTTAAAATAATAAATCACTCAAATTTAATTTTAAATGATGCAGACTTTCTCCACAATCAGTTTTTTCATTTCTGAAAACCCAAGACCAAAATGTATTATTTGATCATCTTATTCTTGCCTTTACAGAACATCAGCACAAAAGGCAGTCTCTGCCCCAGATGGTACCAGATAAGAAGTACTGCTCTGACAATGTTAGGGGAAACTTCCTTATACTTGCCCACCTGAAGTACTTGTCTGATCTCTTACATAGCTATTTAAAAATTAATGTTGAATGTTTATTAACCTCCACCCTTCCGACATATGGGCTAGGAACAGAAATCACACATAAACCAGCTTAAGTGATCAGGAACTGTTTTAAACCTGTAACAGAACAGAAGTTCAGTGCACATAAACCAGCTTCAAAATGGCTGAAACTGGTTTAAGATAAACCTGGTTGAATGTAGTATCAGACTTAACTGATTTGGGTCAAACCATTTTATGGAACTTCTGTCCCAGACCCTTTCCTGGTTTAAGTTAAATAGAGTTCCCCAGCATCCCAGAAAACTTTCCAACCCAGGGCTGTGCTCTCTGCTCCAATGGAGCAGGGCTGGCCCCACCCCCAGCTGCCAGCAAGGACTATCAGCCAGGAATGAGGGGGATTCCCTGCCTCACCCCCTCCTCTAGCAGGGAATCAAGCCAGCTCCCAGTTGGGGCAGGGGAGTAAAGCCCCCACTGCCAGCTTCCCCACTCCACCGGGCACAGGGTGGGTGTTTTTTCCCACCCCGCTCCCTCCTCAGCTGCCCCAGAGGACATGGTGGGCTACTGGCTGTGTTCATCAGGAAGCCCTGAGCTACAGGACAGCCTGAGATGCAAGCCTCCTTCCTCCTCCAGTATCAGTGATGGGACAGTCCTGCCACAGCATGGTGGACGGAGTGGGCTGGCAGCTGGAGTGGCTGTGTAGCAAAACCTCCAGTTTTTGTTTTTAATTTATTTTAAAATGCATTCCCTCCCCTTCCCCAATCATTTCTGACTTTTTCTCTCCCTGTTTTCCCTATAGATAAGTATAAGTAAGCTAAGACATAGGATAAGCTTTAAACATTTTTATTTTGGTAGCAAGTTTTTGGTTTTGGATATCCACCATTTTATATTGTATTATTATTAGGTTTGTATTGATTTTTACTGTTGTATATTGTATTATTATCATTTTCATACTGATTTTTATTGTTTCATATGGATATTGTATGGGTTAGGCCTGTGTTTGTAAGTGAACCAAAGTCATGTCAAGTTTCCATTTTATATGTCAAGTCTCCATCTTCTGTCCTCTGCCTGGGCATCCCATGTTGCAACTGTACGAGTCACATACCCCTCCCATGTAAATTGGTTCCCCGATGAATGAGTTTGATTGGGAATGATTGAAATACAATGGTAGCAGGCCTCTACTGAATGGCCTGTAATGACTGGGCCATCACCTC